CAAATGTACATGTAGGCACGCTATGAATATATCTAAATTGCAAAAATGCTGATCTTTAAGTTATCTTTATGCCTGATTATTTCTTATTTCTGTGGCCCGTTATTACTGTCATTATCATTCTCTTGTGTCATTATCGTAACATCATGTTCCATAATTGTCTATTGATTAAAATAATTAGATATCTACAAAACTGTAAAATATATTCTAGACAATTAAATAGCAAGGCTCTAATTTTCTTGCATAATATAATCACCTTAACATGCTGACAAATACCCCAAATGTTAATTTATTAATTAATCTATAAGAACTACCTATGTTACAAAAGATAAAAACATCAATTTAAATGTATTGGTCAGCCATAGGTTTTTAGTGAAACACGAAATATATGAATATATAATTTTATCAAAACTAGTGATACACGAAACATGATTAAAGCGTCACAGATCAACAGCAGACTGTAAGCTATAGATAGGGCCAGCTATAATTTCACACTTACATTTGGATCCAAACTTATCTCACACCCAGTTATCCCCCTGTGTGCTCAGCCGTGAGAGATCTGTGTTCAACACACTATACTTATCCAAAATCCCTACCGAAGACCCAAGGGCAGATTATAGGAGAGATAACTCAAACGGGTAAGTAAAATCGTCAAGTTGGCGCCGATTTCACTCCATTTTAACTTTCCCTTATGGCCCAATTTATTGCCCCTGAGAAATCGTAACTTCGGACCCAAATTTCCCACGGTCAAGCTCTTTAGCCTTAAAAATAGCGAGATCTGTGTTTGAGATTAGGAAGATCCTAGAAAGAACACTAGTGCGGTTGTTTTTTTATTATTTTGTAACTTCACATTGGATAACAAGGAGTGCTTGNAAATCCCTACCGAAGACCCAAGGGCAGATTATTGGAGAGATAACTCAAACGGGTAAGTAAAATCGTCAAGTTGGCGCCGATTTCACTCCATTTTAACTTTCCCTTATGGCCCAATTTATTCCCCCTGAGAGATCGTAACCTCGAATCCAGATTTCCCACGGCCAAGTTCTTTAGCCTTAAAAATAGTGAGATCTGTGTCTGAGATTAGGAAAATCCTAGAAAGAACACTAGTGCGGTTGTTTTTTATTATTTTGTAACTTCACATTGGATAACAAGGAGTGCTTGCCCTGATTTTCCGCACATTGTAAAACACCTAAAAATGAATGCGTCAATTGCTGTATCAGCGCTCGTCTTAAGCATTTAGTTTCTTAACCACATTTAATTCTGACACATTCAGTTGCTCACGAATGTTCACAAATATCAATTCTGTACATTGAAATTTATGATGCCTGGACTTAAGTTAGCAAAAATACCTAAAATTGTAATACATTTATCCCCAACAATATGAACAGACTTGGTATCCTAATCTTACTGTCGAACACTTTGACAGGTCGTTTCGTGAGACAAATATAACTAAATATATTTTCTATTAGTAATAATCTACTAGCGTTATATCACGAATGCCGCTCTCTGATTGGCTAGGCTATTCACTATCTATTCCGTGATAAATAGCGAGTAGCGCAGCAGTTTGCCCTTGTTAACAAAATGACGGCCGTAATAGGTGTTTTGCACGATGGCGTCATTTGACTACAACTACCAGAATTCCTTCACTTTTTCTGTTTCTTGTGCTAATTAGGGCAATTGTTATTTAAACCCCACTGGGAATTCAAAAT